TATATATATATATATATATATATATATAGGTGAGTTACAAGAATTGTTTAAGTTCATTTGAATTTGGTTGATGAGAGTTTACTTCATGTATTTGTTTGCAAAGAGTTTGTATTAAGGTATTACATATGATATGCTTTATGTTATTGACAAGCAAACTTGAAATATTCTGATGATTTTTTGATGTTGGTTAAAATGTCTAGTAATTTTGATTTGAGATTAGGCCTTTTATGTACTTAATAGAACAGTATTCTAAGTTATCTTGTACTTATTTTAGGCCATAATGAATCAAATATATTCCCCATTATAAAAAGAATGTTAACTGAGATAAATCGGTAATGATATCAAAACTATTCTTTCCTCATTTCTGAATGCTGCAGTTTGATACCTCCATTGCTTTTTTTTCATATTCCTAATTCATGTGGATTCTCAGAAGTTTCTACACATTAGGGTGATGTATCCCTTCTAATCTTTTTCTTTAAGCTTGCATTGGCTTATTACTTCTTCACCAAAGTGTGCTGGCTAGCTTCACCATTTCTGTGTAAATTTTCATTGCCATATGTCTGTCCGATTTATTTAGTCTGACAGAGTGGGAAGGGGTTTATTCCTGCCACCCTGGTTGACACTATCCCACTGCCTGAGTTTCCTCATTGTTCAAGTTTTTCTGAACCTTAGCTTTTCTCTGCTCTATTTCTTTATCATCAGACAGTTCTTATGAATACCTCTTGGCCTTTTTTAGTTGCCGTCTAAATGGTTTTATTCTATAAAATAGCAACTTTATCTTTACCCCTTTGGGGTTTCTGGCTTTTCTATAGACTTGTTATTGTTAGACAAGAACATTAATAACTGAATAGGTATTCCATCTTGTTGGAAGCTCCAGTAAGTCCTCATTGTGAGGAGGTTACATTATTCACACATATTTCCTCTGTTGTCTAGTATGTAGTTATGAGAGTTCACAGTGTCTCTGATCCATTATGGAATTTTGTACTCGTGTTAGGTTCTTGGATACATTATATCAAGGTTCTGAATCTGTGGAAAAACTAAACATGTCCCCTTTCTTCTTGGCATTTTGTTTTACCACAACTACATGTTTTTCTCATTCTGATTATCTCCATCTTCATGATTGGTTCTTCTCTGGCTCTGTGCTCATTAAAAGTGATTAAAAGTTTTGCTAGTTCCCTGCTATTTTTTCACACTGAGAGTCTATCAGTATAAGTAAAACTTTTTATTGTTATACTCTGCAGCTCTGTTTTCAACCTTGTCACCATCCACTACACAGTTTGTGGACTTGTTTACCTTTTTTATTTATTGCATTTTGGAGCAGTCTCTCTACCTTCACTGTTCATGGTTGTTTGTTTCCTTGGCATTATTTTTTCATCTTATTCAAGACCAATTTTCTTGCCCATCTGGATATATTTTGATTTTTTTGTGTAGTATGACTTTCACTTTCTCCTTCCCCTTGAACTGGTACTTTATAGTGATTCTTTATGCTCTTTTCATATACTTTTGCATTAACTTTTGAATACTGTTAATTTTGTAATATTTTTGTGAAAATCTTTATTGATTCTTGCTTGTAAGTGTTACAACCCTGACTTCCATGTATCTTGACATTGATTCTTATAAGACTTTTTGCCAGTAATTCTTTACACTACTCCTCTGATATTTCTTTTATTTTGTGAGACTTGGACAGCTGAGAAGGTTGACTGATAGATTGTCTTGTGTTATTCCTTTCACTTGGACATGATCATTTTGACGTGAAAGATTACTGTATATTCTGTGTTTGTTTTTTGTTTTTTTTTCCTGAAGTAAAGCTTTCAGCAAGGAGCACGTTCACATCTTTGTCCATAAACATGTGCAGATGTGACCACTTTGTTACTCTTATTTGTTATATGCAGCTCCTTATTTGCAAGGTCTGTGTTGATTATTTTAACAAATTACATTGTATATTTGGTGTTCTTTGTATCAGATTTTCCATTTGACAGTATCATTAGAAAATGTTTTTTGAAGTGGCCTATCAGGATGTTAATAAATCTGCCCAGGACCCTTGGCTCACTCAGTTGCTCTAAAACTAATAGTTACCAGAGCTCAGGTCTCATGCAGACAATGGTTCATTAGGAACATTACATAATTCCATTCAATTGAAACAAGGCTCATTCTCAAGCTAACATACAACATCTTAAAGCACCAACAACATACATCTTAACATGTCAAGTTATAAACACAACACAATCCTTTGAACCTAGAAACTATCTGACACACAATACACCAGGCAAACTGCTGAGTAAAGCATGTATAAACTCGATGTGATTTACCATCTATTCAGTTCAGAGGAAAGATAACCACTAGTTGGATGCCAGTGTAATATATCCACCATAATGTTAAAATATCAGTTTGCACTAAGGCTTGAACTCAGAACCTATAGGTTAGACTGGAGTCCTGAGACCATGGACCTTACACTCTGAGCTATCAGAACTCATGTTCCAAGTAGAGAACTCTACATTATGCCATTTCTATAGCATCAGGATTTCACCTATCTTTCATGGAAATAATCCAGACACTTTCACGAATTTTAAGACAAGTAATTTTTTTTATACAAAAAATAAAAGTAAAAATAATAGTATACGTGTCACTCCCTTATGATGCTCATGTGAAACTAATGACTTCAACACTTATGGGTGCTCTTACCTGAATTTTCCTCTCCTTTTTGATGACTGATGCCTTGATGAGAAGCTAAACAAATAGTATCTACAGTATACTTCCACACTGTTTCTTCAAAGTCTGTTGGTGTGAGTACGATATTCGTCAGTAATTTGCATATTTGTTTATTCTATCATTTGCAGAGATTCTAGTTATTACTCTGGTAAGGCACTCATCCTTGTTCACCATTCTTATTTGTTAGATTTGTCATTTCTGAGAGGTTCTTGCTTCACTAAGAGTCCAGATTCCTCTTGGTCATACATACATGCTTCTCCTTCAGTGGTCTCTGGGAGAATCACTGGATTGTGGCTTGCCTTCTCTTTTCTGCCCTTTTATGGTGACTTGATTTTTCCAACCCATCCTGTGATATAACACCCTTCCCCAATTGGCCTGACTTGCATCTTTCAACTGATACCCCTCTTTCTGGTTGGAAATGGTTTTCAACACCACCACTCTCCTCAAGGACTAATTTCCAGTTGTCTGACCATTTTGTTATAAGCCACTCATACAACTCTTTGGTAGTTACTATGATTAACTAACAGGGAGACACCAGCTCTAGGGTTTTATATGGTGGCAGATCATTTA